CTCTTGATGTAGATTTCACCACTGGCCGAACCCTTGGAGCGGAAGAGGGTTGGGGAAGAAGGTAGGGGGCCCTGAAGCGGGCGGGGCGGGGAAACATAATCAACGAAGGCTTCACTCTCCATTCATAGCCATGACCGTAGCAACAGTGCCTAGGCGCGCATTGGAGATTTTGCATGCGTTAACGGGGCAAACAAACTTGAACACCAGACTTGGGATAGTGTGCACCCGCGTTGTCCTGAACTTATCATTTTGCCTGATTTCCCCTTAGCCTGGAGCAACAACTTCCATGTTTGCTCATCAGGCAGAGATGGTGCCGCAGCGACGGGCTTATAGCGCGCTTAGTTCGGAAGTCGATTACCGGATTGGTTCGCGCCCATGCAAACAAAGCCTTCTATCCTACGGGAACGGTAAACTGGTACCATATCCGTCGAGGAGGATAAGAACACTGACTTGTTCGGTTCACGCAATCTTTGTATAGACCACATCGTATTCAAAAAGCCACTTCGTTTGTGAATGGAATGTGTACCCTTGGGCAGGAGAGAGAAAGGCTTCATCTCTTCCTGTAAGTGTAATTCTTTATAGTTGAAATTTCAATGAAGAAAAAAGATACACCCCTGAAGGCGTGGCTTATTGGTCGCGTATCGGAGTAACGGACTGTGATGGACTGGTAATGTTGTTGTGGATTCGATAGGCACATAGCCTGACGTTGTTAGCTTGGTGGTGGTCTCTGAAACAACAGGCAATCCTGATAGTTCCCCAGAGCTTCGAGGAATTTTCCAGGACCTGAAAACTCACCGATATCACTCCCTGACAACCTACCAGTACTTGTTGAAGCCGGTAATAATGTAGACGAGCTGAGCTCTGGAGATTTGCCAAGAGGGACGTCCGTTATGGCTGAAACAAACTAATTTTCCCTGGCGATCTCTGAACTGTACACCCCATATCCCGGAAACGGCGAGGGCGTGGCTGCGTACTTTAGTCAAGCGTGGTGGCGGCGCTTCAGATGGAATATCATTGTTTCTAGTGACTATGTCTTTCGTTCAACTCAAAACAGGGAGAGGAGATATCGCGCAAAAAACATTCTATGCCATGCTCAATCAAAACACTCACGCCCACTCCATCTCTGGGAAATAGGATGTATACAATAGTGGATCGAAAAAGTACCAGCACTTACCAATATCGCAGTCTTTTCCTGTCCATCCAACCAGGCACACCTTCTCTCCGCGTGGATCGCAAATATAGTTAGCGCCATGCTTTTCGAAACATTGGCGAGCACACATAATTCCATAGAAGGGTCTGAAAAGACATGAGCATTGTCCACTGACGGAGTGCACCTTCAGGCGGCTCCGGAACTGTGGATGAATGTCGGATGCATGGCGCGATCCCCCTTAGTTAAGCAACGTTGAGCTTCATCTCCCACGGAAAGAGAACCTTTTGAAAACCCACCTATCACAGACCGTAACAAAATCCATAACAATCCCTTTCGCGACCGCTATTCGTTCAGCAGGAAGCGCTCCGTCAACAGCTACACGATTCGCTAGTCTTCGAATGGTTCCTGAAACGAAAGTGGATGGTACTGTATGCGCAGAGTTCGAGCTATCAAGCAGAAATGGGGGAGGAAATGAAGCTTACGTACTTCCATAATTTCCAGCTATTTCGAATTCCACAGTGAGGTATTCCTAAACGAAAAAAGTTATCGATTGGCAACTAGTATCTACACTATTGTGCTTACAATTTTAGCACAGTTTGGCTTGGTGGGGGGGGCACCTCAACTAATCTTATTCAGGCCACACTGTGATGAGCTGTGAATTCATGTGATCAGAAAGGGCTCACTCGAATACTTTAGCAACTTAGCAGGAGTTCACAAGTTTGACCAGAATGATACCTGTTTTTAACATGAACTAACAGAAGGAACTGGCAAAATTCCAGCGAATGCCCCTTTCAAGCTGAACAGCACACGGTTTTCATTTGCATAAGATGC